TTGGGCATTTACATGGGGATATATTCAATCAAGATAAATTCCTCATGAACGGGGTCGAATTATCTATAAAATTAGTTAGATCGAGAGAAACATTTAACCTCATGTCACAGAATGCAGATAATAAGTACAAAGTCTGTATAACAGATGCAACTTTAATAATACGCAGAGCAAAAATTAATCCATCAATACTAATAGCTCATCAAAAGGTTCTTGCCACTACTACGGCTAAATATCCTATTACAAGAGGTGAAGTGAAAGTCCTGACCATACCAGCTGGTGTGCAGGGTAAAACACTGGACAATATATTTTTAGGACAGGTTCCTAAGAGATGTATTATAGGTTTTGTGAATAATACAGCATTCAACGGTAGTTATGTTAAAAATCCTTTCAACTTTGAAAATTTTGGTATTTGCTCATTTAGCCTATATATAGATGGTCAACAGATACCTTCAAAATCGTTACAACCATCATTTCCAAACGATGTATTTACTAGCGCATACCACACCCTGTACTCAGGCACCGGTATACATTTTCTTAACGAAGGTAATGGAATATCGAGGGAGCAATATTCAAATGGATACTGTTTACTAGCTTTTGATTTAACACCTGACTTGTCGGCTAACTCTAATGTGCATTGGAATCTTGTACGCCATGGTAGTGTAAGAATGGAAGTAAGATTCGAGAGCGCATTGACTGAAACAATTAACTGTGTAGTTTACGCAGAGTTTTCAAATATTATAGAAATAGATAAGAACAGAAATGTATGTGTGGATTATAGTAGTTAAGCAATCACTTATGTAATTATTATGATATTAAGAATAATAAAATATAATGTAATCGAATATGACATGGTTTTTATTTACCTTTATTACTTTTTTTACAAAGAGACTCATTACTTATGTTGAGATCATATTATGTGTGTTTAAATACATTGGTACAAATATGAATTGATAGTAATAAATGTAGTCAGTAAAAGAGTGAAAGAGTAGGGAGTAAACGCGTATTAAAGTATGAACACACTAGAAGTGCAAATGAGTCTTCGTAGAATACATCCCAGCCTCCAGAGCAACGTATATCCTTCAAATCGATTGCCGATGTATGCTCAGGTGCCAGCACTTATCATATGCAATCTTGACCCTGATTCACAGCCGGGGTCTCATTGGGTGGCTATTCATATAAACGTCGAAAGAGTTGGGGAATACTTTGATTCGTTTGGACGTAAACCTATTGAAGCAATAGAAGGATTTTTAAGGAGGAATTGTTGCATGTGGAGATACAATAGCCTTACGGTTCAGGATTACCTATCGGCGGTGTGCGGAGAGTACTGTTTGGTATACATATATTACAAGTTCAGGGGGATGAGATTAGAAGACTTCCTTAGAAATTTTACGTGTGACTCAGAGAACAATGATACGGTGCTAGTAAATTTGTATAGAAATATAATGGACATATAAATAAAAGAATAATACCTGGAATAAAAATGTTTTATTTAAATATGTAACCCTTACATCTAATTTTATTATAGATAATGGTGTTAATGTAGGTATATTTATTGTTGTTTGCTTAGACCCGTAGGTTAGGTTAGATATAGTTTATTCTATTTTTCTTTTAGAGCCATAGATCGGGTTAGTGAATGTAGGAAAGTAGATAACGATGCATTCGTACTGAGTCATTAAGTAATTAGATAATGAGTGGGGATTTCGTGCAGGAAATAGTAACTGATAAGGTGGTGATTAGTAAGTAATTAGCAAGGTTTTGGGAAAGCTATCTCTGGAACGGTTAGAGCTATCACTTCAGGAGTGAGTGCATTCGACTCCACACGTCCTGTTTAGTGGGGTTAGAGTACAAACTTTTTTTTTTTTTTTTTTTTTAGGCGGGCGCTGCCTCCGAAACAGCTTTTTTTACCGAAGCAGTGGGTGAGGCAGTTCCCGGGAATCCATACTACAGGTAATCACTTATTCCACGTCATTCAATTTGTATCGGTAGACATCCCTACTTCTCGGCAAAGAAGACAGAGGGTGTAGGCCGAGAGATAAGCCTGCGTAAAAAAACTCTGGGTACTCCTTTAAAATAGCAAATCATCATACTAAATGACTATGTCAAAACCTATATACGTCCAACATCAGAAAGAAATCAACAGTTTTATGTAAACATGCCTGGTCACACAATATTGCTTAAGATAAATAAGCAATAAATACGATAGTTATACTATGTGGAGGTATATTCGAACCAACCAAGCTAAAACTTCCCTCTATTAAAACAAAACACGCGATAGCAAGACTTCAAAGTATAAAATATATGGTACATACAAAGAGAGGTGATGTGAACCTAAAACTTCTTTGAATACGATAGCCGCTGCATTTTATGTTTCGCCAATATTCGTCACGGATTAATTGACTCCGATGATCGTTCAATGACCTCCAGAAGAGGTTCATTCAAAACTATCTGAGTGGGCAACTGAAAGTCCATAGTCGGAGCGGTGTTAAAATATTTATAAAATATATAAAGATACGTAGGTGAATGATAAAGCTTCCTTAAAAGCCAACTAAAATAAATAAGATTAAGTGTGTTGGTCGTTATAACGAAAATACTATATAACGAAAAATGAGTTAAATTTGTTTGGTTTAACACAAAACCCATACATAAATACACTCTTTATAACGCAACAGCACTTCTCTATTACATATTTATACAACAACAACATACTTAAGTGTAATTGATTTTATAATCAGCTTAAGAAACAAACATATTGAGGTGCCGAAATTTCTAAGAAGACACCTGACGTCATAAATCCTTTGTTATTGTGACTTGCATTAACACGTGTGCCATAATTCTTAGATTACATTGCCTGACGGAAATTTTGGTCTCACTTACTAAACGCACCATTGTCACCTATCTAGTATACATATATAAATTGTTGTAATTGGTTAAATTTGGTGTTTTTTGTCTTCCCACCGTATAACGAAAAGTCTCTATAACGAAGAAAATACTCGGTCCCTGAAATTCGTTATAAAGAGTTTACACTGTATTTTAAAGTATCTGTGCGTGTGTAATAATAACATTTTTATGAATATTTTTTGTGTGTTCAAGTGGATTCGATAATGGTGTAGATATACAATTAAATGTTTAAGACTTGTGAACAGGACAACGTTTGTCGGGTCCGCTAATGGTATATTAGTCTCAGTAAATAAGTTGTAAATTTATTCAACGTCCTGGTAGACACCAAAAGTGGCTTGTTTAAGTTTCCACCAAACCATTAAAAACTTGTTAAAATAAACAAGTAAACATATTTCATAATAATAAATTTATTATCTTATTTCAAAGCAATATTTGGATTCCGGCAATTGATTATATGTAGTTTGATTCAAACAATAGTAGTAGAAGTCCAGGATCGTCAATAAGTAATCATACTATGTACTTAATGAAGATCGTCATAATAGAAAATACAACGTGAAAAAGCGAAAACATAAATTTTCTCGAGTTATTGATTGATGAGACGATGATGACAGTGCGAAAATGCTAATCTAGTGTTAATGTTTTTCTGTTATACAAGTGTACAAAAATATAAGCAAAAAATAAAATTTTACTTTAAACTTTCGCGTGGTGTACGAGTCCGGAAGTAAGGATAAGTTAAGGCTTAAACCATGGAACACAAATTCAAAAAGGAAACCTGAAAGCTTAGGTTATACCTATTTTATCGCGGATGGCGTACCTCTAGTTTAGTTACGATATAAAATACGATGTCTGCCTGTCAAACATGTATGGTGTAGATTTAATTCAAGGTACCTGCTAAATGGTAATGAATTATGCTTTGTTCAACATACATTTAGGTGTGGGACTCGAGATATGACGTAATATTGCCAATTGCGCGCTATTGCATAGGTATGTCCAAGTTTATAGAAATCGCTATAAAACGGGAGCTAAAGTACTAGGTATATTGTATTTAGGTCTACCTAAGTAAACCCAGTAAGGAAACTTGACTTGGTATTTGTTGTTAATGAGGTGTTTCTACAGCTCACGATTACGGTATCGATGTAACTTTGACGCCGACTTTGTTGACAAATACCTATATTAAATAAATATTGAAATGTTTGCCGCACTAATAAAAGTATACCATATACAATATTACACCTTCTTTAAATAAAATTGCCTTACAGTAACTTAGTATTTTAATATATTAAATCACAGAAATAATAAATATTTTTTTAAGATATTTACATATTTTTATTTTAAATCAACACGCAAAATAGATGACAAATAGATAACAATTTAACGAGGTACCAGGTATAAATTAAACAATAAATTTCTGATGGAAAACCGAAATATTCAGAGAATAATTTTTAGAAAAACGTAAGTAATCCACTGTGAGTGATCCTTACAAACATGTTTAATTTTTTGGGCTACGTTTAGATGAAATATGTGCGTGTTAATTAGTAGAAATATGTAAATATCACAATATAATTAAATATAACTTACCATCAATAATCTCCATGCCTGTTCCGGCCAAAAATATTAAAATCAAAAGTTTTTCAAAACGTTTCTATGACGACCCATGATAACACTAACTAGACATTGACAATGGGCAACTGATTTCTTATTGGTCAGATGTGGATACCATAGACACTTCGATTGTCAAAATAAAGACAAACGAATCGATAATTATCGTTTCAATATTATCTGTTTGTAGCTCCGTCTTCATATTTCTTTCAATAAACTTAAATATAAAATTGAAATAATTGGGACATTTCTTCGCGTGGAAGCAATGTATTAGTAGAAGTAGTCATATTTGGTAAAGCCCATGAGGCGTATCTATGGATAAAAACGGTTTTTGGACGAACTCCAAGAGCAATTGCTTGACGTTGCTCTGGTTGACGAATCAAAATTTGACGTTTGTTGATTAGTGTTGGTGTTTCTTCTTCGGCTGAATATTACCCATTGTGATTCATAGTTTATTAGTATAAATATAGCAGTGTAAACTGTAAAGTATTAAGTACGTCATTATGGGTTTAACAATATCGAGTGTTTTTACGAGGCTCTTCGGCAAAAAGCAAATGCGGATTCTAATGGGTAAGCGCAGTGTGACATGATGGCACCTTGTTTAGACTAGTCACTAGATTACGTAGTAGATTTTTTACTGGCTATTATCTTTTGACAATGTTTCTGTACCTTTTGTTTTCTGGTTTCAGTCGGTCTTGATGCCGCTGGCAAAACTACTATTCTATATAAATTAAAGCTCGGAGAGATTGTGACTACAATACCGACAATCGGCTTTAATGTTGAGACCGTCGAATACAAGAACATTAGTTTCACGGTTTGGGATGTTGGTGGCCAAGACAAGATCCGTCCTTTATGGCGTCATTATTACCAAAATACACAAGGACTTATATTCGTTGTTGATTCAAGTGATACAAAACGGATACAAGAGGCTGAGAATGAACTAGCCAACATGGTTAGTTTTTATCTTTTATCATTCTTCTTCATATTACATTCCGTTATTCCATATTAACACACTTTTAATTATATAATTTTACATTTCTAGTTAAAAGAAGATGAGCTAAGAGACGCCGTTATATTGGTATTTGCTAATAAGCAAGACATGCCAAATGCAATGACAGCAGCAGAACTTACAAATGCTTTAAATCTTAATAATTTAAGGAACCGGCGTGTAAGTGGTCTCATGGAATTGGATATTATTTGCTTCTTTTTTATTATTCAACTCTATACTACTCCTTCTTCATAATAGTATGCTTTATCTAATATATAAAATTCTCGTGTCACAGTTTTCGTTGCCATACTCCTCCAAAATGGCTCGACCGATTCTCATGAAATTTTGTGTGCATATTGGGTATGTCTGAGAATTGGACAACATCTATTTTTCATCCCCCTAAATGTTAAGGGTAGTCCACCCCTAAATATTTTTATTTATTTTTAGATATTTTTTTCTGTTTTTATTTTTTTATGATACAGCATTAAAAATACATACAAACCCCTAACTTTCACCCCTCTACGATCAACCCCTATTTTGAAGTATACTTCTTACCTTATGATTTTAGAGTAAATTTTACAATCCATTAAAAATTAGATTATATTACTGCGGACGAATAGGATAGATTACAGTAAAAGAATATTCTGAAGTTCGTATCAAGAATTTTGAATGACATATACATTTGTCATTTACCTTTTAAACAAATAAAGGAGTTTTAATTATTTTTCAAAGAAATTTAGCAATGTTTTTGAATTATATATAATCAGAAGTGATTTAAATTGAATATTTAAACAATCTAATTAATATTTGTAAAAATTCAAACCTTCCTAAGTGTTCTTACATTGAGGTTAACTATAGTTTGTATTATTATTATCGAGTAATGTTTTGATAAAAAATTACCACATTGTTTAATCAAAATTAATTTTTCTATTTAATCTAGCAATTAAGGACAAAGACAAAAAATTAATCAGTTAAGTGCACTAAATTGAATACAAAAAAGAGTTGTCATCTTATCGCTGTAAACATCAAAACTATCAACTTTTTTATATGCCAAAAAGTTACTTCTTCGGCGTACTAAGTACACGCACTTTTTTTATTATAAATGATATATATGGCAAAACTACGTTTGCAGGTCAGCTAGTATTAATGATATAAATAATAAATTTGCGTTTTTGCAGTGAAATGCAGAATAATACAAGTTAACTAAATGTGTATGTTAAAAATATGTTTTGCTAGTTTTTGCATGAGCAAATATGGTCTTGAGTGTATAAAAAAAAACTCCCACAAGTAGAAGAGATTATGTAGTTTTTCATTAAAATTTCTTTACAGTGGTATATCCAAGCAACATGTGCAACCCAAGGGCAAGGTCTCTATGAAGGTCTAGATTGGCTCTCCAATGAACTGGCAAAGAAGTGAGGCCAAAGTTGAAGTGGGAGGGGAAAACCTTACATTCCCACAAGGCTGGACATTTTTCATACTGTGAATGTTGTCAAATTCATGATATAATAAAAGGTATGCCATATTAAGAAAATACTACTGACTTTTTTTATTTAAATCTTATAAAATTATTTGAATGAATAACTATCATCTAAATTATTGAGTGCGTAATGTTAATTTTATATAATTAGGTTGAACCAATCTTGATATTTAACTAATTTACACATTGTAAGTTCATTCTGCGTATTCTTTTATTGTATCATGGTCTAACTAGTACTTGAAAGACTAAATTTGTATGTAATTTAATTATATACCTATATATTTATAGTAATGTAAGGTTCTGATTTATTCAACTTTTCATGCATTTTATACTAAAGATATATTATTCAATGTCTGTGAGTTTGTGAGGCTTTTGTGTATGTAACCTATTAACAGTAAAAATTTATTTCATAACTTATTATATTATTAATATGCAGTTTTATTTTAATAATTTACTATGATTAATGATCCTGCTATTAAAATTTAATAAATTTAATATTAAGTTAAATTACTGGTTTATAAAATAAACAATTAAGATGACTTTAGAGCCAGCAACAGAAAATTAAAAAAACTATTTTACCATACTAAAATTCGTTAAAACCAATATTGAATTAAAACCCACTGAATTAAATTATTTGCATTAAAAGGTTAAGCAAAATCTGAAAAGTTGATTTTTAAAAGAATCATTACTCTTAGTTTAAAAACCACATTATTTTTATTGTTAAGATATAAATTGCACAAGTATCTTGATTTTTGTCTAAAATTTTGGAAACCCTTTGAAATGTCAGTTTGAAACATCAAAGCTTAAGAGCGCCCTTCCCCGTCCGACGAACGGCTACGCGAGCATGGCCAAAAAGCTTGTTGTTTCATCCAGCGCAATGTCAGAACAAGAGGTAAAGCGAAAAGAGATAACTTAGATAGATAGCGAGCCATTCATATAAATGGCAAACAAGCAAGTGAGAACGCGATAACATTGAAAGAAAAATAGTGTGCGGAAATTTCATAAAAATTGTTCCAAGAAATACGTGTTTTTTCGTAAGCCTTAGAAGATTATGAAAAAAAAGTTTTACATTTAGAAACTTCATTACATTTGCAAGGTTTCTAAGCAAATATTTATTTCCGGTTACAATAATTAATGAGTACATTATAAACGCCCAAACTACATATAAAATTTGTGCAAAAAGGCTGATTTTTGAAGGTTTTTACTGAATTTGTTTCTTAAAATTTTGATTTCGCGTTTTAATAGAAACCTAGATAATGTGCACAAGATGCCTATTAGTTCAAAAGTTTCAAAGAAATATCTGTTACAACGCCATAATCACGTACGAGCGTTTGTATGAAAAGATAGACGGGTTGGCCGCTCTTAAGTAAATTAGAATTATTTTCAGTTGGCTTATAGTACTTAGGTTCATTAACAATATTTTTTTCCTTTGTGTACCGTAATTTAATATCTTATACACAAGTATATGCTATTATTCTGACAATAACCATTCGTTTTACAAGCACAGTGTAGCACATTAGATTTTGATGGTTTGTTCACAAGTCGGTGTTTAAGTATTTTGCAATTTTCATATATTATTTTAAATATAGTCAGATAACTGCTTTAGATGTAATCTTCAAGTGTGTATATAATGGATACCTATGTTTTGGCTAAATGAGAAGTGACAGCTTCTTTTATTATGTCCTGCTTTGAAAATACATCAAAGGTTTATTATAGTATAAATAAATATAGGTGTAAATATAAATGCATTTTAATTTATAAACCCCTTATTTATGACCCCATACAGCTTCTCGCTTCTCAACAAAACTCCTTATTCCTTCCTGTCCATCATTTGAGCTTATAGTTTGAACCATTATATCCTCACCAAATTTATAAGCATCAAATAGACCCATATCCATCTGCTTATAGTAAAATTCTTTGCCAATTGATATCACACTACGGCTTTTGAGTTTTATTTTTTCGATAACATTATTTACTTCTGAATCTAGATCTTGGGTTGGTACAACTTTGGTGACTAGTCCACTTTCATAGGCTTCTTGTGCAGTTATTGGTTCACCTAGAAAAATATAACATAACTACTTATTGTAGAAATTTAAATATTAACTCAAATTAATTTGTTTTGTACCAACCAGTTAATAACATATACATAGCCCTTGATTTTGGCATACTTCTACCAATTGCGATACCAGGTGTTGAACAGAAAACACCAAAATTTGCTCTGAAATAAATAAATGACATGCTAACTATCAGCAAAATTGATTCAGTCTAAAACAAACACATACATACCCAGGTGTTGAGAATTTACTTGTTTCAGAGCATATAATCATATCACATGTAGCTACTAATTGGCAGCCTGCAGCAGCAGCAAATCCATTGACCTGTTTAATATATATTCTTTGGAATAATAAGATAAAGCTGTCTATTTTCCTATAAAATAAAAGATAGATAAACCTTCAGGTCCTTCTGTTGAGTAATGTTTCAATATGTATACTATATGTATCTTGCTATAAATAATCTTATATTATTAAATAAGTACATTATCTATTTATAGAAAGAGTAATAAATTATGAAACTGAACTCCTGATATTAATTCATAATTTACCTTCGCAATAACTGGTACAGGACTTTGAACAATTGATTTCATTAGTTCAGATGCTTTACTGAAGACCAATTTGTGTTGATTGATGCCTGTAGATTCTTGCTGTAATATTATTATTTTTAGAAATGTTAAACTATTACCTAATCTAGATTTGAATAGCAATATATTTGAACTTATAGTAGGTATATTAAGTTATCTCAAATAAAACTTACAAGCTCCTTAAGATTATGTCCAGCAGAAAAAATATTTCCATTTGCAGATAAAATTATTGCCCTGAGTGAGATGTCTTCTTTATTGAGATTCACTGCTTTAATGATGTTGGACATCATGTCAAGTGAAAGAGAGTTTCTGTGTTACCAAAATATGTTTAGATTTTTATTTATTAGTTTTTTTGAGGCAAATGTAAATTTAGCTTGACACTGGTGTAATTACCAAATATAATTGATCTTAATCTTTCCTTTTTCTAACTATTCATATAACAATGACATACCTTGTTTTTTCATGATTTAGAGTAATCTCCCTTGTGCCATTCTCTTCTTTAATAATAAGATAATTGTTACTTGAACTTATATTTCTTCTGAGACCTAAATGAGGTCTTATTCTCTAAAAAAATGAATGAAATGTATTTGTTCAAGCTATATCTTTTTTCAACATTAATAACCATTTGTTCTAATTAAGATTTAAAAAGTGAAGGTTATAAATTTTATAAGGAACTCACTTGAAATATTCTTTGCATTATTTTAAAGTGTGTATTTATCAAAGCCCAAAGGTACTATCTAAATTATTCGCATCTGCTATTTAATAAAATATATTAGACTTCAGTGCATTGAATACCTACTACAAAGAATACCTACTACATATTTTATCAAGGTCAATAGATTATTATTATACATATTATTTAAAAATCAACTGTCAAAAGAGTGTTGTCAAGTATTAATAAAGTTATACTGTTTAAATATGTGTCATTTGGTTATTTAGATTGAGACCTGTTGCAGCGCGTACACATGTTGCTTCAAATATCTTAAAGGATTTAAAAATATAATGGTGATTATAATATAAGTGAAATAAAACAAGATGAACTCGATTATATGTATTTTATTTAATTTATTTATGATAGCAGTTGACGAGATCAATCCTAATTCTTATGACTAGACGATCGTTTGTATTGTAATTATTGATAAAAAGTTTTAATATAAATAAATTAATGCCAGTTATCGTCTGATGCTACTGATACATCATCATCGATGTAATCAGCTTGTTCATCTTCCGCTGTAATAAGTTCAATCACGGTTCTGAAACAAATTTATAAATTACACATGACAATATAAATTCTGTTACGGTGTATTTTTTACTTAAATATTTTAAGTCATATTGCGGATAAAGTAATATTCATGACAATTTTCTTTAGTTAAATATGAGTGAATCAAAGAACACTTTGGCGCTATGTCAACAGACAAAGTAAAGAAATTGCGCATTACAACGTTGTAGCTAGCCTTTTATTGCAAGTAAATTCCTTTTTAAGCTATTGCATAGCATCTATCGCGGGCCTCGAGCGTAGAGACCGAATCCTGAAATTCCATAACGAAAAAAACCTTACGCGTTAGAGCGGGACAGAACGCATGCTGCGTATTCACATCTCTCGGACGAGATCGGTGCAGTCGGTGCGCGTTAGAGTGAGACAGAATATATAGACGAGTTTGTCTGAGTCTGGTAGAGTGGTAGATTGAATTAATTTATCAAAGAAAAAACTTGAATTAATATCAAAGAAAAAAAATACTGCATAAATAAATAATTATAATTGCATAAGTTGAAAAAAAATTATGCAATAGCTTTACCGCGGCAGTCCCCGAGTGCCACCCGTTTTTTTTTGTTTTTATTTTTACTACTACTACTTTTAATGTAATTAATAATAAGATATGTAATTATAATATACGCTATATTCTACATTTATTATAAGTAAAACTGTATTGTTATGATTTATATAATTTTTTTCCCACAACATTCGTTTCACTACCAAAATCTTCATAGGTTTCACAATCAATTACATATTTGTTGGGAAACTCAACTGAAATTAGATCTTATTTTTTCTAGACCACCTCCACTCCTTTGTTGTCCCGAGGCTTCCAGACCTCTAAATCTGGCATTGGCTATGTTATACGAACCAACGGATTGAACGTTTATAAACATATATAAAATAATATAAAAATTATATACCTCCAATAATTAAGTTATATAATTACATAAAAACATACTTTAAAACCTCGTCTTCGAATTGGCTCTGTTTCACAGAATGTGGGCATGTTTCCATAACTTTGTTGGCCAGTACTTGGTCGAGTAGAATTCTCAACTTCAGTATTGTGTTTGCCGAATTCTTGTTGCATCGTACGTTTATATTTTTGGTTATAGACATTAAGCAATCGTCCGGATTTTCAAGATCTAAAAACAATATAATATACGGCGTTTTATATTAATTTTTAATAACAGACTTCAAAAACAATTTGTGTAATTTATTATCATCATCGGACATCGAGGTAGAATACGAAATTCCACCTGTATCACCTCAACGTCCGTCGTTCCACAACTGAGCGGTTTTAAAACAGTTTGCCGAGCACTACCACCATATGGAACCAGCTGCAGTATTTCTGAAACAATTCGATTTAGGGTCCTTCAAAAAAAAAGAGCGTACCAAATCTTAAAAGGCCGGCAACGCAATTGCGAGTCCTCTTGCAATGTGTCTATGAGCGGCGGTATCACTTAACATCAGATGAGCCTACTGCCCGTTTGTTATATTTTTTTTATTATTAGTACACAGTAACTTGTTTGAAGTAGTCACAGTGAGTAGTAACTAGTAGTAGTAGTAGTGTGTAATACCGTTGCCCATGGTCACTCAATACCCGAGGGCTCGCGAGTGCGTTGCCAGCCTTTAAAAAATTACTACGCTCTTTTCTTGAAGGACCCTGAGTCGAATTGGTTCGGAAATACTTCAGTGGGCAGCTGGTTCCACATAGAAGTGGTGCGCGGCAAAAACTTCCTTAAAAACACTCAGTTGTAGAACGACGGACGTCGAGGTAATACGGGTGGAATTTCGTATTCTGCCTCGACGTCCGATGATGATGCGTACGACGATTTACGCTTATACATGTCAATGCCGCCTTGCTCGTGCAGTTATTACTATTAATACTTCAACTTTTTTTCAGTTAAATTAAGGAAGACAGTAAGTACATTACCTTCTTTAACACTATATTCTCCAAAGAATAACAGCGGTAGTGTATATACCAGGTTGACATCAATAAGGAAGAGGTCAGACGATTTTTGCTTTAGCCAATAGACCAACCAATTAGCCCCGGAGTTAGTGCAAATTTCTTCGCGCTTGTACATACCATGTGAAAAAGCCATAACACTACTTGGATGGACCTTGACTTTGCCATCTTCAGGACAATATGCGAGAATGGATTTTGGTTTTTTGTAGCTTTTTAAATTGCACCAACTGTAAATATAATCTTGGTAATTCAATATTCACTATACGCTCTTATTAATGACGGGGAACACTATCAAGGTTGAAGGTCGCATCTTGTTGAGAAGATAAAAAAAATTCGACAAAATCGGTTCGTTTTTATATATGTATATATAAAAGGCACCTATGTAATGTTGATTACTTTGTTTTAATTAGGTTTAATTGAAATACTTTTGAATACACAAACACGACATGCGTCTCAGTGCGGCTATTATACTACTTGAATATAGAATAAAAAAAATTAATATATATATAGTATGTTTTTAATAAGATGTTTCTTTAGCTTAACTTCATTTAGTTTAATCGTGAATTTTGACATTTCATAAGTGTTGCTACTAAAAAGTCCTCCACCGAAAAAGGGACAATTAGGTGCTATTTTTTTGTTTTCCTCAAAAGAATCTTTCCTACTTGAAATCATTTTTAATTCTTATCAATTATTTAATTACTTTATTTTATTCTTTCTCCACCACTCTCTAATCAGTAGTAAATCTTTAGTTTACTGTTCGTGATGAAAAGCCACGTGGCGTAAAATTATACATTCACTGGGGCCGTATAGACTCAAATTCTTGCTCGGCCAAATGGGTTGCTCTCTACATGTAAAAAAAATCTGTCACGAATTGTACTCAGTTTAATCAGAGAATACCCACAATCTCTATTGGTTTAAGACCCCCCTAAAAAACCCCCCTCCACGAGGTTCTTTTTTTAATGAAACTTACTTGATATTTTCAACTTTAATATGTCCCACTAAATATAAGCCATAGGGCTCCTCATCTTCAGGCGAGAGTTTTATATATTTAAAAAAAATATTTTTTAGACATTTCACCGGTCTAAAGATAAATTCTAATACCAGTCGAACGTATGAACCCACGCTGCAAACGTTGGGTGTTTTTCTCAAAATTATTTGCATTTTGCCAGCCCTAAAGTATATATACATCTTTAGTATAAAAAAAGGTTTTTTTTTTTTTTTTTATTAATACCACCTATAAAATATTGTTGAAAACGTTCAAAAATTTTACCACATGCAAAAATTTTTTTTAATATTAATTAAACATTGTCTGAAATTTCTAGGACTTGGATTATATTTATTGACATAAAAAAAATTTTTTGTATAAATAGTATGCTATTTTTTTTTAGTAAGACACGTTCTTGTGTGTAGTTTTTCTTAAATTTCTCATAATTAACACATTATGATCTAGTTTTCTACCTATAAGTAAATTTAAGTCTAACTTAATTTTCTAAAAATGATATTTAACATAAGAAAGTGTCCTAACACTACTCAGTCTATATTGAAAAATAAAATCATTTTTAAATGGATTCTTGTGTGACTACATATTACGGCTACATTATAAAAAAAACATTAAAATAACAGTAAAGTATTTGATAGATATGTTATAGAGGTGTTTTTTAGAAAACTGTCTAATTTAATTGTTATAATTTTTATTTTGCTTCAAAACAAACCCCTTTTTTTTTTTTTTTTGCCCACCCCTTTTTTTTATTTAAATAAATAACAGAATATAAATTAATTAGTTATATTATTTTAAAATGACTTCTAAGCTTGTCAGATCCGTCACTATTCTACTACTATGACGAAATGTAATCCAGTAATGGTCTAGTCGACTCACCGCACACGAGCTACATTAGGGTACAACGATGCAGCCACAATTGCTTTGAAAAGGCTAATATTATTCCAATTCCTGTTCTCCCATTGAGCCTGGAGATTACTACTTGAAAGAAATCCCATTTGTGTGAGATTTTCACCCAACTGTTTCTTCATATCGACTAGCAGCTCCAACGTGTTGTTTGAAAGGAAATTATCGTAGGCGAACGAACGACGGTCTCTAATAACATATATAATAAAAACATGAGTCATTAAAGTAATAGTGAAAATGGGAGATAGAGAACAATAATGTCCTTCAGAAAAGAGCGTACCAATTCGTAAGCCGGCGTAGAAACGTGCGAGCCCTCTGGCATTGACTGACCATGGGCGGTATCTACTAACATCTATTGTTGTATAAAAAATATCAATTTGATAGCACTTTTGATAAATAACACTACACTATGTTACAACAATATTGATTTACACTTCGTTACAAGAATTGGTACGCTCTATTTTTGATTGGGTATTAGCGATTAGATTTAGAGATTGCCTAGTGGCTTCAGCGTGCGACTCATCCCTGAGGTCGTAGGTTCGATTACCGGCTGAGCACCATTATTTCTATGTG